CCCCAAAACCCCAAAACCCCAAAACCCCATGAAATTTTAATTTTTAAAAAAATTGTAATAGTATAATTTAAATTAACATTTTAATAATATTTAAGTTAAGTATTAAAAGCATTGATCTAAGCTAATATGTTTGAATATCTTTAATAGTTACTTCACTATTTTAAACATTCGAAGTGCACACTCTATGTTTGGATTTATTACCTTGCTTTTGCAATTGGAGCATACTATCTTGTTTTGCTAGGTATATTTGTGCTTCAATTTCTCAATAAGCATATCATCAGGAGAAGATTAGACTTACTAAAAAGATATGGATCTAACTCATGGGCACTGGTGACTGGTGCTTCTGATGGATTTGGAGCTGAGTACTGCAGATAACTCGCAAAAGATGGCTTTAATATTGTGCTTGTTTCAAGAACGATGAGCAAGCTTCAAGCAGTAGAGTAGGAGTTGAAGAAAATCAATCCAAAGATTTAAACTAAGATCGTCTAAGCTGATTTTACAGGCAATGCTAATGTCCAATTCTATCAAAACATTTTTGATCAAGTCAATAATCTAGACATTTCTATTCTTGTCAACAATGCAGGAATTATGTTAAATGGAAGAGTTGATCTTATCAAGCCAAAAGCTCTCACAGATACTATTGACGTAAATGTAGTTTAAGTATGCATGATGACGTCTGTCTTTTTACCAAAATTGCTAGCAAGAAAACCCAGAAGTGCAATAATTAACGTGTCAAGCATGATTGGATTCACAGAAGCTTACGCTGGAGATGCAGTTTACTGTGCCTCTAAAGCTTATGTTAACTTCTTTACATATGCTTTTGCTGAAGAAGTAAAAGATAGAATTGATATTTAACTCTTCACCCCAGGAATGGGCGCTACAAACCTTTGGGGTAATGCATCTAAGTCAAATCTCCTGGGTATTTCAGCTAATTCAGTTGTTTATGGTAGTCTTAGAGATCTTGGAAGAGAAGTTAACACAAGTGGTCATTGGAACCACGAGGTTCAAAGTCCAGCAATGAAGCCACTGTCATAATCCTCGATCTTTTAATATTTCGCTAATAAGATCTATGGTATATCAATGCTTGAAAAATGATAATGACGTGTCTATATTTAGGAATGACAAACAATAATGATAAAATCATTTCTCTATCAAATCAAGATCTCAAATTAATTCAATAAATCCCTAACTAAACTCTTATTCTACCACATGGGGTTTTGGGGTTTTGGGG